CTTCGTCTCTGGAATCGCGCTGATTTCTTCTGTTATATTTTCTAGATCCGGGTCTCCTCAGCCGGCCTCTCAGTAATCTCGACTTGTTTCTGTCTCCCCTCACAGTTTGAAGCTCATGTGTATGAGGGCTCGACGGGCGTTGTGGTCAACCTGACGGTAGATGACAGAGACGATCCGGCCACAGCAGCGTGGAGAGCCATGTACTCTATAATCAGTGGAGACCCGACGCAGAGCTTTGAGATCCAGACCAACCCGGACAACAATGAGGGAATGCTGTCGGTTGTCAAGGTAAAGCACTCTGTAAGAAACATTTGGATACATTCATATATTCTCGTAGATAATATAATAACATAATACTTACCTTTCTAATCATTGTCTCCTCTCAGCCACTGAACTATGAGGCGTCTGAATTCCTCAGCCTGCTCATCAAAGTAGAGAACGAGGATCCTCTGGTTCCCGATGTCGGATATGGCCCGAGCTCCACGGCCACCGTCCACGTCAGAGTCGAGGACATTAACGAGGGCCCTGTGTTCTTCCCAGACCCCCTGATAGTCACCAGGATGGAAAACATCCCTGTGGGAAGCTTTGTGGCATCACTTAATGCTACAGATCCGGATATATTAGAGAAACAGAGTATTAGGTAAGCAGTTTTTGGACATACTTTTGTGGTAAAAGTGCAACAAAGTCAAAAAGAGATGCAGCTGCAAACTGTGGATCATCTCGGGGAGAATAAACGATGCACGCGAGGTGATCTGGCAGGGAAATAGTAAGTAAGTAAAGACATCTGACTCCGTCTGCCTGAGCTGTCGCGATCCCATCTTTGTATCGCCAAATACGTCCGATCTTCCCAGCGTTCCCGCTTAGTTCGTTTTATTTGTCTGCGTAAACAGACACAATATACGGCCCGGATAATGTGAACTTTATTGGCACAGGCCAAACTGTTCTCCCCAGTCAAGTGAAAAGTCCCAGAATCAGACAGCTCATTAACTTTAACTCTGTTACAGAAGAAGCCCTCAAATATCACCATCATCATAACTGCGAGGCGATTAGTTGCTCTGTGTGCCACAATAAAAATTATTCCTCTCGCTGCCGGAGGGAGTCCCGTAGTTTGCTCTGTACTTACATTTTACAAGATAAAAAGTCATCGCTGCATTTATGACCTTTCAGGCCTAATTTCGACTCGTGTTTCTGCACCTTTGCAGCTGTATGTCATATATAAGTAAACACATGGGGCTATTATAGAGCGAGGGCAATAAAACTCATCAGATCATGACTTTACTGCCCAAATTATTGATACTGCTTTATGTGCTGTAAAACGTATTCGCTGTGGTCGTGTTAATCGCTACAAAACGTGGATTTATTATTGGATAGCGTGATAGAGTCAGGACCTCTACCAATAAAGCTTTGATAGCTGCTTGCCTGACATCACACGTCACCTCTATGATCCTATAAATATTAGAAATATTGGATAATACAAACTAGCCCCAAATGACAGCTTTAGAAGCAGAGAGGTCATAGGTGGGTTTTTGTTTTGGGTTTTTAAGGAATATGAAGTTTGTTTGTTTTCTCTGTGCATCTCTTTACTCTTTAAATAGAAGCTTTAAATTAAACTCTTTATAGCAAAAGAAACAAAAGTTGAAGTAAAATGTAGAAAGAAAACAACAAAAGCTGGAATCCAAGACAAATACTTGTCAAAGTCAAAGCAGCCATCTGTGCAGCACGGTGCACTTTAACAAGGATAACGATCGTGAGCTTGGCAGGATTTGGTGAAAAACAACATTATTAGACAAATCAAAATGTTGGCGATGGCCCGACATGTAAAGTTTTGGGATCACGGGGAAACCGTCCAACACTCGCTGAGTTATTGCACTAAGAAACTCACTGTGGAGCTCGAGACTCGAGTTGCTGTCTGAGTCCATCACAGATATACGTGGGAAGCTAAAGTAATGTGATAACAGAGTTAAGCATAAAGCCTGGGACTGACTAAATATATCAAACTGTGTCAGAGTGAGGATGGTCTCAGCAAAGAACGCGCTTTCATATTTTTGTCTTTCTGATATTTTTCCTCTTACGTTACATTTCGACTGCATCGCGTCTGCAGCTGTTGGTCTTCGGTAACCTGGTTACCACATTATCTGTTCCTCCAAGAGAAAAATGTGTTGACGCAAGCTTTGAGATTCTCCAGCATGTTCTCATTAAACTACAGCACAGCTGGGCTACTTCCTGTTCTCAGGATAGAGAACGTCATGCTTCGGCTGTGTGGCAGGCAGGAATTGGACCCAAACGCAAACTCACGGGGACATGGGGGATAAACTCAAAAAGCACAGCTTTATGGCTGGAAAAACAGCTCACAAGTTATAGAAAACT